CCCACCTGAGCATGTCATCTTCTGCAGCCTCGGGATACAGTGGAAGAAGATTGAATTATCTATTGATCTATCAGCAGTTGTCATCTCCAGGCGCCCAGCGGTAGGAGCACCTGCAGCTCTTGTGATCGCAACCAGAGTCAAGATCCAAAAGTGGCTTTGTCCCCTGAGAATTTACACCATGGTTTACCACCAATTGATGGCAATTCTTGTATGGAAAATGATGATCAACCATAACATGTATGGCATGGTGTTCCCATTTTCTCAGACCCAAATCTTTGCAGCACACGGCTTAGGCATGGGGCATCCAACAGCCAGGAGACAACAGGGGTTCCAATTGGCCATCTACCCATCTTCTCTGTGTTTGGGAGAAAATGGAAGTGATTGGGTATGGAAACCACCAATCTTAACCCATAATACCAATGATTTTTCACCCATGGCTTCAGATCCCGGAAGTCAACAGTTCCATGGCCTGCAAGGAAGATGACGGCCAAAGTCCAGACCTATCAGAAAGTTGAGATGGAATAGCCATGGGCCTGGATATCAACCATGGGATACATTGATTAATGATGGGATAAAAATCATCACTTTCCAAATAATCAGATTTGATGCTTAAATTTCACCCAACTCTGATGCTGTTCAGACCCTGAAACGTTGAAACACTGCCAGGTTGAGCTCCTCACGACAATCCTCTGTTGGCAAAGCATCTATGTCTCATTGAATCATCACTATTCTCATTACTATCACCAGTTTCATTATTACCTTTACAGTAATGTAATGTGTGTAAAGCAATAATAAACCACCCATATAATGATGGTTTATACAACCCATTTATGGTAAGAATTTGGGTGGTTTACTACTGCTTGAACCGCATTATAATCATTGCTATCATTTTTTATAACTGATATCGATATTGTAATTGCAGCATATTGCAGCATTATCCTTATTCTCATTATTGCAGTATCACTACTATGATTGTTGTCAGCATTATCATCATTATCAGTGTTATTTTGGTGGTTATTGTATTGTCATCCTGGTATCTAACTTATCTATCTGGTAAATAGTCTGCGGACCCTGCCCAGGCTCTCTTTGGCGGCATTGCATGCTGCACCGTAAAAGAAGGGCTGGTTTAAGGAAGTGATTGGCTTCAGGGAACAGCCTTCTGTAGTAATGTGGTAATGTGGTAAACCCAACAATAAACCCACAGTACACTGTACGGTCAACCAGATTTGCTGTCAAACTGAAAATGATCATGTTTGCAAACTGCAAGTGGATTGCCAGGCTGGGCTTTTCATCTGCATGGTTTAATTTGGATCAAAGGGAAAAAGCATCGTGAGTCCACGTTTTGTGACGCTGTGACAGGTTGCTTCCGTTCCGATAAGAATTGCTGTTCGTGCTTACCAGTACCAGTCACGCTGCTCTCTTTTTCGGACTTCTCTGTGCCTGTTTTTCCGAGATAGCATAGACTGAACATCTGTAGAAAAGCTTGCGCAGATCTCTTCACTTGCTTCAAAGCTGAAAGCTGATGGGTGATGGCCGCAGGTTGCTCAACTCAGGAGGAACAAACAAACCGACGAAACCGATATAGGTTATGCAAACCTGTGGGTCTTTTTGTACATAACATAGTGCCAGATACTGTGTAGATACATGCGGCGTACCAGAGCGTGTGCAAACACAGGAAAGCAGATAACATGTTCCATTATGTTCTATCACTTCAACTATCAACGAACAGAAGCGAATATAACACGCGATGTCATCAGGGATAGTATGCAATCATCAGTGCTGGTAGGCAGCTCTTCGGAGTTCAAGCCTGGAAACTCCCAACACGTTCTGAGAAGGAACAAATGATGAAGACCTCAAGCAATTGCATCTGAAAGTCTGAAAGGAAAGAAACAAAACCTCTCGTTCACCAAAACAAGGTATGGAAAAGAGATGTCTAGAGCCACCTTCCGAACCCATAGCGTAAGCGTAGCCTGGACCATCTGGGTGTTTTACTAAGTCTACATTGCCTTTTCAGAAGACCGTCCATCCGCAAATGCATGACATCGGAACAGTAGCAGCTGCCACCTTTTTTTCAGCGTCGAGTCACTGCTGCGGAGCACTTCCCGAGACCTGCAAAAGTATCGAACCATCTGAATAATAGGTCCATAGGTCATTGTGTTCTGTGTTCATATCAAAATCATCCAAAATTAAACTCCTCCCACATCACCCAAATGATCAAAAATCATCCCAAATCATCCCATCACCAAAACTCATCCAAAATCAAACAGTTTAGCAGTTTAGCACTTAGCACCATCAGCTTTGGCTTCCCAGACCCCTCCAGATCCAGAACCTGCAACGCTCCAAAGGTGACCTGGGAGCCAGCGGATTTTCTTGGGATTCTACGGCCTGACCGCAGGGTACCAAAAGCGGCGGGTTTCTGATCTGAGAATGACCCAAATCCTCGAAATTTACAAATGTTGGATCAAACATGATCAAACTACTTCTAGAGTTAGGATGATTCCATCTGTTCAAACAGATCACGTTGGAAGGCGAGGCCATGATGTGTCCGTTACGTGTTGAACCAAGATTTGCGTGACCATGTTCTGACAATTCCAAGGTGAAATTGAATATGTATTGTATTACTCTGTTACGTTCTTGTGTCATGTCCCTTTCCCTGCAGCTTTAGTCGCCAAATAGCTTGCAAATCGCGGTTGTTGTGAAACCACTGCCCAAGTGGCACAGTGTCGGAGCGTCACTACTAGCAACCCAAGTGCCTGTAATATCCACTTTGTCAGCTGGAGAGTTGTCAATGTGATACATCCAAGATAGTTGGACTTTCACCCTGCACGTGATAGGTTCATCCCAACTACCCTCTGGTAATTTAACATAGCTATTGAAAATGGCCATTTATAGTGAGTTTTCCCACTAAAAATGGTGATTTTCCATAGTTATGTAACAAATTACCAGAGGGTAAATGGTTTCGTTTCACTTGCGCCAGGTCACCGGGGTCTACTGGCAGAGCGCTTTTCAGTAGCACACTGGCCACCAATTCCACGCTGGGAACGGTGCGAAATGGCATGGATTCCAAGACCAGCGATACAACATGATACAACTGTCTATCCAAAGTCACCCAGGAAAAGATGCATGAAATTCTACATTATCATATGATGTCAATATGTGCAAATCTAAAACGGGACCGCTAAACTTATATAATTATCGTGTTTGGGGCAATCCCAACGCGGGTATCCATTGTATCCCATGTTGGCTCTGAGAAGGTAAGGAGTAAGGGCCAAACCCCTATGGTCCTATGGTACAGTGTGGTCTTTTCATGACTAGCCTTGCTCCGCTCAAGCATCCATCGATTCACAGCTTGCCATGCTCCGTTCCCAGAAAACATGACTGGTTGGCGCCCGCCTACCTGCGATCACCACATTCCACGTTCCTGTGCAGGTCCAAAACATGTGGAGAACTTCCCTTGGTTACAGCCCTGGCCATCAGATGTGATCAGCCTCGAAGTAGAATTTGCTGCAAAAAGAAGGTCGTATTACTGTCGTATCAGCTTGAAAAGTGAAAAATCTTGGACTAAAACAGACACCGTTGTGCTGGCACTTTGAGACGGTTGCATCCTGGCATCCCTTTGGCCCTCTAATTCCTTTAATTGTGAAGCAAAAACCTCTGACCTCTCAAGAATCTTCATCTCCACAGACGGTCAGTGCTTCAGACACTTTCTCATGGGTTTCTCGATGCAGTTGATCTCATATGCCGTTTGTGAATGTTTCAGCAGTGTGTGATATGTCCACAAAAAAAAAAACCTGTCGCAAGGCGATTCCTGCAGAGACACCCTGTGTCCTTCATGAAGATCATGAAGTCGTTCTGGCTCACCACCCCATCTTTGTCCTGCAAACCAATGGCATGAATCCAATGCATGCTGCGACCCGCGACACAGCACCGGAAAAATGGAAAATCACCCAGAGGGGCCCCAGCAGATCCTGCAAAAAAGCACGAAAGCACGTGACAGCAAGTGACTCAAGTGTACTTAGGACAGATTAATCAAGCTAGTGTATCACATGCATTCACATGGGCAATGGGCAAGATACAAGACTTGAGACTTGTCAAGACTTGTCAAGACTTGTCAAGACTTGTCAAGACTTGTCACTTATCGTTGTAGTTCTTTTTTTGCTTGCGTGCATGACTACCTGTACACACAGCACACAGTACCACCAATCACCCGAGTTGTGTCCTTATCGGCAAGGTCCAGCATGTCCTGGGCTCACGGCATCCTTGGGGATCGCTACCGACACTAAGTCACCCCACCCTCCTCTCTTCAAAGGTTTGATTGACGGTCCATGACGGTCCATGACGGTCCATTGTGTTCGGAAATGTGCCCTTCCAGTAACCCATGGAATGGTTTTTTCAAACCCAACATTGCTTGATAAACTCCAACCCCGAAAAAAATCTGTCGTTTGGACCATCGTTCCATCTTGGGCCCAAATCAGAGAACGGTTCCTGTAGCTCCTCCTCTCTCAGATCTTCACCCAAGTTCCTGCGCAGTCTATGGTATTCATCGATACGCGTTGAGAATCCAAAAATGTCTACATAAATGTACGGGTACAGTCTGACAAAATATACGACAAGTACAGTACAGAACAAGATATTAGTGGCAAATGGTGTGGATCCTATTGCTTTTGGATGTGGGAGTGCAAACTGGCTCACTGTCTGATAATTACCTAGAAGTTCTGGATGCCTTTGATTATCTTCAATAACACTGCATGTTCCAGCCGTCTCATAGAACATCCTGCATCAGCTTCCCAAATCATGGCAGTGAATGATCTTGCTGACAGGAAGAATGATACTGCAGGACAACAATGATCAATTTATACAGTATCAATTTCCCTTCATTCCCGTCAGTATGGCTCAAGAAATATCTCAAAAGCCACACTACAATTTCATCATCATCTTTGGTGCTCATGTTATCCAACTTTGATCCCACTTTGGGACTCAAAAAATGTTGGAAAAAAATCCTACATCAGCAGCCGACACCTGGCCACTCGCTTCAGTTTCTGCAGGGTGATGAAACCTGGTTGTGCCACTAGTTGGGTTGAAAGCCCCACACAAATTGGTGGATGGGCTGTGATTTTTCACCGGAAATCTGATGTCTACTGGGAGTATGTACCAAAGGTCGTTGGTTTTCAAGGAGTTCTTCCCCTTTTATCTTGGCCATTCCAACAACAATCGTCATTCACCCAACAAATGTGCGAGTTGATGATCCACGTGAGCCATGTATTTCAGCTGTGTAGCCAAAGCCATCAGGATCAAATTGCTCGAAGGCTTTCTCCACACGCGGTTTCCTTTCAGTCATCTTCCTGCAGGCTGCCCGGAGAACTGAGAAAGACTCATCAATAACCGGTATTCACTAGATGTGTTTTTGCATGTAAGAAAAGAATAAAAACATCTGGTGAATGAGTTGCTGCTGGAGGTGTTAAGAACGAGATATAATGCCATTTGGTAGGTTAAGCGCCCTTGCATCAAAAATCAGACCCTTGGCATGTGCAGTTGGAGGATTTCCCATGAGGTGGACATGTGATCAGGTTTGGAAGAAAACAACATTCTGATAAATCTTGGAAAAAAATGATTCGACCATCCAGGATTTTGCCTGTCACAAGTCTCTCCCCCAGCTGCTGTTCACCCATGTTTGAGCCTCACCACCATGCAACCTCAGCAGTAAGAGGAGTTTCAGTGGCTATCCGCTAGAGGTCCCAAGTAGCCGAAGATTCTGCCCCTATTTGCCATTCAACCATCCAAACTAGTAGTGAACCACTTCATAGGAGGAACTCTTTGCACTGCCATGGAGCCCTGGAGTGTTGGTCAATGGACGGATCCGGAGGATCCCTGACACACCTTGCACAACACCATGGTACTTAGCGCCGAACGAAACTGGTCGAAGTCAATGGTTCCGCTTCCATTGTCATCGGCCTGCGCTGGAGGTTAGACTTCTGCCTCCATTGAGTTTGAGACTCTTGGCTTCACAAAAATCTATCCATATCTGACCTTTCTGGGACGATCAAGTGTCAAAAAGTGTCAAAGAGTGAGAAAATTGTAGACTCCTTATGGTGTTTGACCCTTCTCATCTTGCCCTTCAGAGTTGTCTGGCGAACACAACCGTCACAACCGCCTGCGCAATCATGAGGTCCACCTCCTAGGAACTGCACAAATGGGCCATGAAAATCATTGATTTCAAAACCAGATCTGTCGATGGGCGAAATATGGATAAACTATAGGTATGACTCTGCAGAACTCTGCAGAAAAGCCTGATCGGCTGCATGAAATGCATTCTGAGTTCAAAAACGGAGCTGGCGAACTTCTGAAAATGATGATATTGTACTATGACTGATCAATGACGCCAAAACATGAGACCATGAAACTGGCCACATCTGCCGAAAAAGTGTCTACAGAAAACTTGCGTCTATAATGGTGTCCACGCTATAATATACATGATATTTATATACACACAGACACATGTAAACGTGTATATATGTTGCCAATGTTATATGCGTATATTTGTATAGGTACATATATATTATGTACAGTACATATTACTACAGATGGACTGAGCAGCTTTGCTCCCATTTGTCTCCTCGTTGGAATGCTTAAAACCCAGGTTCCTCATCACCATCCGCAACTCCTGCGCTGTGACAGCTCCTCCTACTGCCATCTGGTCTCTGAGTGTATCGAATCTCTGCATTGATTTGTCATTAGTGATTAGTCATTCATGGAAACAGTTGGTATCTAGATTGTCAAGTTTGTACAAAAGCAACTAGTTGCAGAAAAGAAGGCTAGGGGTGGAAACCGACCAGCAAAATTCGTCCCAGTCCCAGTCCCAGCACCTTGGCATGGATCTCTCCCGAAGCATCGGAGTCGCAAAGGTCAAAGGTGGCTTTGATCTCCTGTATCTGTGACCAGCCAACTGCGGAGGGAACAGGGCGGCCATTGGATGCTATTGGATCCGATTGATGCTACGGGTCTACGGTCTGGCCATGCCATGGGTCCCATGGCCGGCACCAGTTGCGGCGCCTCCAAGAGTTCTGCACTGAGCTCACCCTCAGCCTGGCGAGCCTGGCGGAAATGGAACACGGGCACTGCTTCGGAAGCCACATCTCAGCGGTGGAGACCGTTTGGAACCAGCGGTTTCCCCTCTTCAAAGTAACTACTAATAGCCATTGATTACCATTGATTACCATTGATTACCATGTTTGTGCGTTTGAGGTTGAGAGTTTATGCGGACATCCCAGCATGAAAAGAACATGCCCTGAATGCTTCACCCCCGGTGGCACGGAGCCCCTGAGATCTGATTCAATCGAGGACCTTGGATGCTCCTTCGTTGCAACTCTCCAGCTGTCCATCAGCCTTCCACAAGAAGCATCTGAAGAATTTCACAGCACACAACTAGTTACTAGTTACAACATGTTACAACATGTTACAACTATACAGACTATACACGACACCTTCTTGGATCAAAGCAGTTGCCCAAATGTTTCAGATATGCCAATAGCCATGGATCAAAACCCTCCCCTTCTGCTCACGCCAAAATAGTTGTTGCTCATGGATGTTCATCCTCCCAAATAATGGTATAATGGATTATAATGGATTGTAATGGAATAACTTAAGGTAAATAACCGTGGTTAAACCATGGTAGTTAAACCCCTATAAATAACTGATAAATCTCCGTGAAAACCGAAGCTCACACCCCATGGCCTCCAGCGAGGCATCCGCCACCACCTCCACCTGTGGGACACCATCAGCCGTGAACCATGAACCATGAACCAATTATATAATTTACAAACCATCAAACAGATTCAAACAGCCTTCAACCACAGGGGTCAACAGGAGGCAACAGTCGATTCAATACGATGAAAAAGTCCAGTTCAGCGGATTGCGAACGGAAACTTCTGGCTACAAGGTGTTCTGGTGTGAACACCAACGGAATGATCTTACGCATGTGACATATTATTAATAATTTCTATCAAGACCCTGGCTATGTTCCGCAAACATCTAAAACCAAGCCATTGTGGCCCTGCCTGTCCACACGGTCGCTGACCCGAACGGACTTGGGGTACACTTGCGGAGGCCCTGCCAGCTTGCTCAAACTGAACTTTAGATGAAATGTCCACAAATGTCCACATTGTCCATGATGGAAATGATTCTGATGAAAACTACACCATCTTCATCCATCTTCCATATTTCTTCATCCTTCGAAATTTCCTCTGTCGAAATCCACGGCTGGGCCGGCTCGGCCGGCTGGGCCGGCTCGGCCGGCTGGGCCCCCTCGCTTGGGTCGAAGTCTGCACGGGCAAAGTGTAGCCAGAATGACCATGGGCAAGTCACATCTGGAGCATTTCGTTCTGACAACTCAAAACAAATGGTTTTCCAGTGGCGCACAAAACAAAAATGATCCACCACACCTTCAGATCTGTGTGACGGTATGTAATGACATCTATGACATCGCAGATTTTGAAAAATAACCTGGAAAGGCTGAGTATAGTGTAGTTGTCCATGGTCATCCTTGAACTTCAACAATCAGTGTTGGTGATCTTTCACCCTATTGTCAAGGCAACCTGAAGCCTGGTTTGAGCCGTGCTGTTTTTGATGGGCCGGAAAGACACACTGTTCCCAACTTACATCACTTCTTGTGATTCTTGTGAGTTTGAAATCCCCCAATTGCAATTTTGGGGATGTCTCTCCATTCAATTCTGATCATGTTTGATAGCCACAGGGCTTGATCTCACCGCTTTGCGTTCTGTGAAAACATGATAGAACAAGCTCTCTCTGGTCTTAAAATCGGAGCCAAACCATGTCAAACCCTGCGAAAGGATATCTGTATATCTGTGAATCATATGTTGCTGTTGCCTCCAACAAACTGAATCCACCGATGATAAAGGTGTACGTTGGGTTTTGATTGGGGCATGATATCTCCCCCAAAGGTGGTTGTTTATAGTTTCTGGGTCGAGGAAAGTTCAAGACCATATGGTCGCAATCTGAACGCGTTTCTGTTTGATGCATTGATTTGCAAGAGAAATGGCGATGTTCACGGCTCAAGTTATGTTGGCAGTGCTCATTCTGAACTGTGCGCCACCAACCCACAGCCAATCCCGAGCGCCCAGCTGGATTGTCCAAGCTCACCTCAGGGTCTGCCTCAGGCTGGTTCAACACCATGAGAACTTGGAGAGTGTGCAATTCCATGAATCTTTTGGTACCCGTTCATCTAGTTGCTAGTTGAAGAACTTGCGTGAGCAAAGAATGGACTGAGCTCATCCATGACCAGTTCTTTCAACAAGAATAAGTCAATAAGTCAACCCACTCTTTCTTTGGACCCTGCAAATTCGAAAGACGCATGCATGGGCCATGAACAATAAGTGACATCAATGATATAAGCAGCCATAGGGCTCCACCAACATGCTCTGCCATGCCATTCCGTTCTTGCCACATTTTATCTTCCGATGCCATTTGGGCGCCACGAAAGGCGGGCAGAACATCTTTGGTCCCGCGCACCATGGAGTGTTGAAAAGGTCAAACCAATCAATGGGATGTGCCAACTAAACTTTGCTACTGAACTTTGGTTGCCATGTCCTGATTTCTCAAACGCAAAGCTTCCCATTTACTATTTCTTATTAGTAAAGGGAGAAAAAAACTAACTATAATTATATTGTACCCAGATGACTCATGGAGTGGACTTCTGTTGAGCTACTATCGGGCAACTAAGACAACCTTTCAGAAAGAATCTGGCACAGCTTATCATTGGCCTTTAGTAAATTCTGCATGTTGCTGGGCGGGTCCCTTAGTTGGTCACATCCCCTACCAATGTCAACGCAAGACATCGCTTGAAACTCCTTGAAATTCATGGGGGTTGTGAGACGCTGAAACCCGTGGAGAAATGCCAGCAAGAGCCGGCAGGGGGCAAATCAGTCCTCGTACTCGTAATCATCTGATTCCCACTCTCCATCATCATCCAGTTCTTCCTCCTCCGCCTCTTCATCATATTCTTCTTCTTCCACCTGGCACGAAATTGGATCGACCTTCGGTCAGTCCAGATTTGTCAACCAAGGGACCCTTGAAGTCCAATGGTTTATCATAATTCTATTAGCATGTCAACCTTCAGCCAAACCAGTGGTCCCCCCCTATTGGCTTGTTCATATCATCCCCTCTCTTCAAGTTTCGCTGCTTACTCCAAAGTGAAATAGCAGAGTTCTGCACTGTGGAAAAACGTCAAGCTAAGAGGAGACGGAGCAAACTTTCAGGTTTCACCTGTCGCACAACATGTGATCTCCGTCGGGGCCTCGAATTGTGAGTAGCCCAAGGCGCTTTCTCTGCCCTTTGGCAAATGCCAACTACCTTGCCCCGGCATCGCATTTTTGTAGGGCCGATGTAGGCCCACTTTGAAGTTTATTCTTAACACCCAAAAGCAGTTTAGAGTTGAAAAACCCTGTTCATAGGTGATATAGCCCACATTGGCAATTCATGAAAAAAGAATGTAAAATGTCCTCCATGATAAAAGCCTTGCACTGGTCACCCCAAGAACGGACATCCGTTGCAGTTTTTCCTGCCATCAGGAAACGATTTTTTTTCACATGTGAAAATGGTCATCCCCAGTTGGCTTTCTAGCTATTCTTGGGGGCCCACCCACACTACGTCTGCAACCGATTTCAGCACGGGCGACTCAACTCACCCTCTGGGTTGAAATGAACTCGAAGATAGTATTGAATTCCCTCGTCAATTTCCTCAGCTAACCCGTTAAGTCAGCGAACGTTCATGAAACATGCCACCGGTACGCTTTCCTGACGCTACGAGTCACTGAAATCTGTACCTGAACATAGATTCTCTGCAAAAATGTTTGTGGTTGGGTCTCTCTACCAGTGGCTGAGGGGACGCAATCATCCGCAAAGACTGCGATTGATATTTTCAGTGAGGTGCCGAAAAATCAGTAGCTGGAAGCGTTCATGAATCCAGTTCAGAAAATGAAGCAATCCGCCGGGGTTCCACAACTCTTCAAAACACCTTCTGGGCCATACCAGAATCACGACACGTTGAGCACCAAATGAGCCTAGATCTGTCAAACTTTAGCCAAGCTTCACTCACCTTGACCATGTAGTAGCCCACCTTCAGGGGGCCATCATGGGTTTTAACTTTTAACATAAGCTTCAAGACCCGGCCCCTGGCGCCTTCAAGTTGCGTTGCTCCACCCAAACGACTTCCTGAGCCTCACCGCTGTCGGCTGAACCATTGGGCAAAGGTTTCCCCATCTTCTTCAGCCTCCCAGTGAGTTTTGCAGCACCAAATCATCACCAAATCATTTCATGAACAAATCAGATACAATATGTCCGAATTTCCATGTATTTCCTCCATGAAATCTTCGCTTCTATGCCCACGGATGCTCGACATGTGGGTACTTCTCACTCCATCTAACTCTGGTGTCCCATTGGGGCAACTTGGAATTCGCCTAAAACTGCCACTCCGCAAACTGACAGAGACAGGGACCTGTTGGGACTTCAAAACACCGGGCCCAGTGGCCCAGGCACCAAACGGATCAAGGTCAACATGTCCAGTCAAGCAGCTTTCCCATACGCTTGGGCGGCTGATTAGTTCCTTGGCTGTCCCGGTGCTGCTTAGGTTCTGCGTGCAAAAGACCAATAGGTACCGTGCCACCGGCGGATTCCCGAACCGAACCACCACTGAGTTACTGTAGCCATTTGAAAAAGCTGAGAATGGCTGGGGCTGCATTTTTCCAGATGGGATCACTGTCAATCACTGTGACCTGGGGCCATCTGGAGCCATCTGGAGCCATCTGGAGCCAAGGGTCCTAGATATGCCACCTCCAACTTCATCCTTTCGGAGACCGTGCCGTCCCAAGTGCTTTGTCCTTTCTGGATCTGATGCGCTTCCTGCCGCGTCAGGCAGTGGTCTGTTTCACCTTTTCCGCAACACAAGGTTGCCCATATCAAGGTTCCCAAAATGACCAAAGATGCGTACAGACACTGATTGCAGTAGTGCATATCCCATATATATATATCATATATTATATATCCAATAGATATCCCCGCATTCATGCATTCATGCCATATTAAATCATATCAACATGTCTATGGATACCCTGTTAGTGAAAATCGCTGATCCCCCAGGCCTCAGAGGCCGCATCTTCCAGGATGCTGTGAGCGCATCTGGTGTCGCTCTGACCCAATACGAAGACAGCCTGGAGACTTCACGACCCACTGATCTTTGGAGGTTGGGGATCGGGTGGGGCCCTTGGACCCCAAAATGTCTTGGATCATTTCCGGGGTGCCCCAAGTGGCCCAAGCCTTTGCCGGTGGAAATAGAGCTCTCATTTAAGCAATCCGAACAGGAGTGATTTTGCCACATCAGTGGAAGTAGTTTTCCAATCAGTCCACAAATAGGTACCCCACACACGCACGCACACATACACACACACTGAGTGGGTAGCACTCCCCGATTGGTGGAGATGATTTTGGAAGCATGGTATTGCAACAAAAACCGATGTTCAAATATGATTTGGGCATTGAAACTGGATGATTCCGCTGACCATGTTGCTAACCCAAAGTCAAAGCATCCAAGCAGCTTTGGCAGGTGGATCACTGGACTGTGACACATGAACGATGTAGGTGTTGTCTCTCTCATTGCCGCTGGCCTGACCCGGCATGTCTCAAGAAAGTTTGAGGATCGGTTCAACGTTCAAATCGTTTGTGCACACACTGCAGAAGTCTCAGTACCGATGTGCATATTTTGAGAGTAGGTGTCATTTATGGATTTCGTAATGCATGTTGTAGAAAGGCATATTATACCAAAAAGATAAATGCAACGTAAACAAATTTGGCCTATCAGGATTATGTCTGTTAATTCAAATACCACCTCTTTGCAACAATGATGTCTTGGGTGCGGCAAAACAGATCCCATTGGGAGCCCACAAGAAAAAGCGCCAAGCGGAACCACACCTCCGCATAGTGAGTCATGACTCTCCATGAACCAGGGAAAAAACGCACAATCCTTGGTGCACAGATCCAACATGGTGACGATTGGGAAATCCCAAAACCAGCTTGCTGTATGTTATTATGTTGTTCATCTTCTAAGTTATAAAGAAGTGCATCGCAGGGGATCCAAAGGTTAAAAAAACGCAAAGGTTACAGTAGAAGGTTTTGATAGAATTGAAACTAGAGACCCCCCAGGTCTGATTTCACACCCTTGGCCCATATCTCTTTCCCCAGTCTCAGACAGAGACTCTCCAGGGACCCCAGGTAGTACTTGAAATCCTTCCAAGATATCCAAAAGATTCCATCAGCCTGTGGGTCAAAGTTCACGGCCTCCGCGACCTCCGGATATTTTCCACATGTCCTAAGCCACAAGTTCGAACAAAGTCACACGAGAAGGTTGTGTTCATGTTTTCCTTAAGATACCAAACTTGGAGACTTTCCACGGCACCAACCAGATGGATCCTTCTTTAATCTTCTTTCCATAAAATTCGAAGGGAAATCCGCCTTGCACAACCAGGCTCGCTGTCATCAGACCAATCTCCAGTCCACTCGGCATCATTGCCCCAAGGATTGCGCACTTTGACAATACATGGGCCACGTCCACCATCATGGCCATAGGCCGACAGGACCGTGTATGCATGGCCCTTGATAAGACCATAAACACCTTGGCTGTGGTTGTCTCGGCTGTCGCTGTCTCACACTTAGGATCCTATAAATCAACAAATGTGGTCACAGATCCCTTGAAAAAAAACTGATGTCGTCTCCCCTGCGGGCCTTTGGCTTCTCCGCATTGCCCTTCACCTTCCTCTTCCTCCACATGGTCTCCACAGGCACAACCAATCACCGTCAAGGTATCCTTAGTCCAGTGCAGTCATTGAATATCTCGGAATTGGCAAGCCAATAATTCATGAAAACATAGCGCATTTCCAAGGGGAATTGAACGAATCTGGCTCGACAATGACAAATGCAGCCCAACTAGACAACCTTTTGCCAGGAAATACGTGATCAAAAGGCGAGCTGAAGAGCGATCGGAAAGGACTGATTTTGTGTCTCTTGGTTTGTGACAGAAAACTTCAGAAAGCTCAAGATCTTGACCCGTTCCAAGTCTGTAGACAACGCTGCAGTTTGGCAGATAAACAGTGACTTGTTCCAGCTGTGCGAACGATAGCGAAGAAA